TATATATATATATATACTGTTGTTGTTAAGTGCCATTGAGTTGGTTCCAACCCATAGAGACTCTGCATAGGGTTTCTGAGGTGGTGAGCTTGAACCATCGACCTTTAAGTCCAAACCAACTTTGCTGTTCAATGTATTAAGCCGTATATGGTAGTGGTGATGATGTGCTGAGTTTTTTCAGGATTTCAGAAGCTATAAATCTTACAGGAGCCAAAAGCCTCATCTTTCTCCAGCAGAACCCTGGTGGTTTTGAACTGCTGACCATGAGATTAGTAGCCGGATTCATAACCTCTAAGCTACCAGAGCTCCAGATATATATCTCTAAATATATCTATAAAGGAGCTCTGGTAGCGTAGTGGTTACGAATTGGGCTGTGAACCGCAAGGTCAGCAATTCGAAACTACCAGCTGTTCCGCCGGAGAAAGATGAGGCGTTCTGCTCCCGTAAAGATTTACAGCCCTGGAAACCCTGTGCAGGGTCGCTATGAGTCGGAACCGACTCCACGGCACTTAACAACAACAACAACAATACTTCTGGTGTGGTGCTGTAAGATCACTGGACTGTGAGCTCCAAGGTTGGCAGTTCAAACCCACCAATTGCTTGTTGGAAACCCTATGTCATTGTTATGTGCTGTGGAGTCAGTTCCACCTCATAGTGATCTTGTACAGGGTTTCCAAGGCTGTAAATCTTTATGGGAGCCGAAAGCCTCGTCTTTCTCCTGCGGAATGGCTGGTAGTTTCGAACTGTCCACCTTGAAGTTAGCAGCCTGATTCGTAACTGCTACGCTACCAGAGCTCCTTTGGAAACCCTATACAGGGTCGTTATGAGTCAGATCCGACTCCATAGCATATAATCAACACCACCATATACGGGTTAATGCTCTGAACAGCAAAGTCAGTTTGAACCGCAAGGTCGGCGGTTCAAGCTCATCAGCCACTCCTCAGAAACCCTATACAAGGTTGCTGTGTGTTGTAACCAAATTGATGGCAGTTAACAATAGCAATAATAATGTATCTATTATACATGAAGTCCTGGTGTGGCACTGTGGGTTAATGAGCTGGACTGCTACGTCAGTCTGAACCGAAATGTTGGCAGTTCAAGCTCACCAATTGCTCTCCTGGAAATCCTATACTACAGGATCGCTATGGCAATATCTATTTATCTGTCTAGGGGTCTTGGTGTGGTGCTGTGGGATAAACCACTGACTGGACCACAAGGGTGGTTTGAACCACAAGGTCGGTGGTTGATACTCACCAGCCACTCCTTGGAAACCCTATACAGGGTCGCTATGAGTCGGACAGAACTTAACAACAACAGCAGGTGGTGATTTTCAATATTTATTTTCTATGTTCTTCTTTATAACTGGGGTTGGGGACAGAACTAAAATATATGCCTGTGTTATAAAGAAAGTAAGTTTAGATATGTAGGGATCCCTGGTGGCACAGTGGCTATGTAAATATATCACTGAAATTAGTCATTACAAATGTATAGATTGACTTATATTTTCATATATTATAAACTTCCAAGACAGAAAGAGTTTGTAAAAGTAATAAAATTTAGTTTATTCTAAGGATCACAGTGGCTCTAGAGAATAAACACTGGACTGCAAACCACAAGATCAATAGTTCGAGCCCAACAGCCGCTCCAGGGGAAACAATGAGGCTTTCTGCCCCTGTAAAGACCTGAAGCCTCAGAAACTCTCTATACAGGATTGATGCGAGTTAGAACTGACTCAACAGTACTTCACAATAACAAGTCAGTGAGACAACAAGAAACCTGATTTTTAAAAAGCAAAAAGAAATTTTAACACACCAAAAAAGTCGGTTTACAAAGCAAAACTGAGCTCTACTTCCCATGGCAATAAGTCACTAAACTTTCATACTTCAGTTTCCTTATTACTAAAATGAACAGGTGGAATTAGGTTACTTCCAAGGTTCCAATAGTCTATGATTTTATAAATCTGCAAATGAAGAGGAATTATTTTATTTTACTTTATTTGCTAACACAGTGTCTTCTTCAGATGGTCAAGTGATTGTGATCAAGGATGTTCTGGAAAATAGGAAACAGTGGCGGCATGGAGAGCCGGCGACTTTAATGAATGTCTTGGCAGCAGCACAGCTAATGAGTAACTCATTCCCTGCAATTGAAGGAAATTTGGGTATGTAGTTCATTTTTAAGAATATAATCAGTCTCCTGAGGAATTCTGTCTAAGACTTGTAAATGCAAGTTGATTTGCTGTCCTGTTGATTCTGACTTATAGTTACCCTATAAGACAGAGTAGAATTGATCTCAGAGGGTTTCCAAGTCTATAATCTTCACAGAAGCTGACTGCCACATCGTCTTCCTTCAGAGTAGCTGATGGGTTCCAACCGCTGACTTCTGTTAGCAGCCAAGTACGTAATCACTGCGCAAGAAATTCTCCTTATAAATTTAGAAAGGGAATAAAAGTACTTTTAATTGGGAGAGTGGCTAAACTTTTCAAAAGTTGACTCACTTTTCCCATGCCTATTCCAAATGACATTAACTAAAGGCATGAACTTCCAAGGAAAGTGGGATCATTTTCTTTAACGTAATTAGGGAATAACTGATGAAACATTATATAAGTTCCGCAAGGTCAGCAGTTCGAAACTACCAACTGTTTCACAGGAGAAAGATGAGGCTTTCTGCTCCTGTACAGATTTACAGCCTCAGAAACCCTCTACAGGGTCACTATGAGTCGGAACTGACTCCATGGCACCTAATCAGCCAACCAATGGCTTTGTGGACTCTGAGTAGTGCAAACAGTTATGTACTTGGGTGCTAACTGAAAGGTTGATGGTTGAAACCCACACAGCAATTCTGTGGGAGAAAGGCCTAGTGAACTGCTTCCATAAAGATTACAACCAAGAAAACCCTATGGAACAGTTTTAATCCATCACACAGGGTTGCTAGAAGTCAGAATTGACTTGAAGGCACCTAACAACAACAAAAAGAGTGGTTTTGTAGGTGTTCCTGGGTGGATGGTGCATATGGGTAAGTGCTCGATCACTAGCCAGAAGCTTGACCGTTGGAGCCTATCCCGTGGTGCCTTGGAAGTCAGGCCTGGCAATCTTCTTCTGAAAGGTCCCAGCAGTACAACTTTATGAAGCACAGTTCTACCTGTACACATGGGGTCACTGTGAGTTGGATTGTACTCAAAGATGGTGATTACCACCACCATCTACAACCAATGGTGCTGTGGAGCCCCTGGGTGGAGGTATGATTCCACCCAGAAGCACCTTGGAAGAAAGGTCTGGCAATCTACTTCTTCAAAATCAGCCACTGTCAAAAAACAATTAAGGCGGCAAAGGAAGATATGGGATGGAGTGCAAGAGTTAAAGGCAACAGAGGGAAATACTGTTAAATACACAATCCTGCAGTAATAGAGATATACAGATAGATGCATGGATAGACACACAGGCTGAACAGGTGTTTCAGGAGAGTGGGAGCAGAGCCACAAATATATATTTGTTTATCTGATGATATTTATACATGGGTAGTTAACTTTCTGAAAATATATCCATGAATATGGTAGAGCATACAGGGGGCAAAGTTATGAAAACTTCTTAGGCATAACCAGACACCTTTGAGAAAAGGAGTCATTGGATCTAGAAGCTCAGGACCATCGTTTGGGGGGATATCAAGGAAAATTTCCATAGCATAGTCCACAAAGACAGTGGTCTACATCGTACTTTGGTGAGTAGTGACGGAATCTTAAAAGCTCATCAGCAGCCATCTAAGATGCAACTTTTCCTTAACTCTTGCATGAAGTTGGACCTATTTCTTGACTATTTCTATTCCATTGATGCATAAATATCATTTTATTTTACTGTTTGATTTTACCAGGATTCTGTGCTATGGTAGTACAAATTTCCCCTGTAAAAATGTTTTTGATGCAGTTGTATGTTAATACGGGGATGCAATGTATAAAATCTAAAACACTTATGCCTATATTTGGAATACATAAAGATTATTTTTGTACTTTCCAGAATACAAGTATTAGTAGGCAGCATTGGACTTAGACAGATCTGTTATAGCCTCTATATTTTATAATCCCTAAGAAATCCTGTCTTTGGTTTCCTCATTTGTAAAATCAGCAGTATGATAGCACCAAATACAAAAGTTTATTTTGAGGATTGAATGAGACAGTGCATGTAATGTGCCTAAGCAGGTGCTTAGTAAGGTGTAGTTTTTAGAACAGAGGCTAAGAGCACCAGTTCTGATACAGATTCCCAACAACTACCACATGATCTTAAGCTACTCACTTAACCCTTCTGTGCTTTAGTTTCCTGAAATTCAGCAGTTCTAAAATGCACATCCCTTTTTAATGTTTTTGAGAGTGGCCTATAGCTTACATTAAGGGTGTTCTACAATTGCTGTAGGGCAGCAGCTGCCCCGATTATCATTGCCTCGGTCTCAGTGAACATCAGATGAAAGTCTGTGGTGTGGCACTGTGGGTTAGTGTGCTGGACTGCAAAGTTGTTTTGAACTGCAAGGTTGGTGGTTCAAACTCCCCAGTCGCTCCTCAGAAACCCTATATAGGTTTGCTATGGGTCAGAACTGACTCAACACCACATAACAACAACAATAGTGAAACACTCTTTTAACCTATAAGAACCTAAAAGTATATGGGAGAAAGGTTGATTATGATAGATTTGCAGTTCCTCTGTCATTATATGGATTTTTGCGGCTCCTAATCTGGACTAATCAAGGAGCTCTGTTAGCGTAGTGGTTACGAATTGGGCTGCGAACCACAAGGTCAGCAGTTCGAAACTACCAGCTGTTCTGCGGGAGAAAGATGAGGCTTTCTGCTCCTGTAAAAATTTACAGCCTCGGAAACACTGTACAGGGTCACTATGAGTCAGAACCGACTCCATGGCACATAACAACAAGAATCTGGACTTATGAATTGGGCTGCAAACCTTAAGTCAGCAGTTCGAAACTACTAGCTGTTCCATGAGAGAAAGATGAGGCTTTCTGCTCTCTTGAAGATTTACAGCCTTGGAAACCCTGCACAGGGTTCGGAATCGACTCCATGGCAACTAACAACAACAACAAATCTGGACTTGCCTTGGAGTTTACTTAGTCCAGTAGAAGACAGTGGAAGTGATGGTGTTCTTGGTCTAAGTCTAAGCCTCAAGAAGCTTTGTGAGATTCTGTTCTCTCTTTTGGAACCATACCCACCTCTCAACTAGACTGGACTGGCATTCTGGAGAATAAGAGACTGTATGTACTAGAGACAAGCTATCCTAGGTGAGGTCATCCTAGGTCAGCCAGCCTCCAAGTGACCTGGCAAATGCCTGCAGATGTGTGAGTGGACCCAGCTGAGACTAGAAGAGCCAACCAGTTGAGCCCAGTCCAAATTCCAAATCAGATTTGGGACCTAAATAAATGGCTATTGTTTTAAGACACTAAGTTATATGGTGGTTTATTATTTTGAAAAGCTCAATAATATAGGCATATTTAGCAAAAAATCCCAAAATGGGAGTAAAAAATAGGCTGTTTCTGCATATTTGTAAGGCTAGTTTAAGAATCAAGCATTTTTAGTTGTTTAGTGGATTCTTTATTAGTTTTATGGCATTCTATTAAGAAAAGATGTCTCACCAGTGTTGTTGATTACACTGTTTGAAATGATGTGGAAAAAACAAATTAATGACTCAAAATGTAATTCAAATTTCCCTAATGATCTCATAAATGGTTTTATTATCATTTTTTTAAAACCAGAGTCCAAATAAAGTTTGGTTGATATATGTCAGACACATACAAAGTAATCCAAAGAAACAAGACTCTGAATGTCAGAAATTTTAGGAATATTTTATCTAATTTACATTTTTCTTTTTATGAATGTACTAGAGTGATATAAGATTTTAAATGTGTGCTTGGTGGTGTGGGTAGTGGTGTGCCATTGAGTCATTTCCAATTCGTATACGGTTTTAAAGGTTGTTTTTCGGGGGGAACAGAAAGCTTCATCATTCTCCCAGAGTGGTTGGTGGATTTAAACTACTGATCTTGCTGTTAACAACCCAATGCATAACCCACTATACTACTTGTTGTTAAGTGCCGTCAAATCGGTTCTGACTTATAGTGACTCTGTATAGGGTTTCCAAGGAGCAGCTGATGAGCTTGAACCACCAATCTTGCAGCTCAGAAAGATCTAAAAGAGTTAAAAAATTATCTACATCCACTGTGGTTATTAAATGTCATTAGTTGGTTCTGACTCATAGCGACCCTGTATAGGGTTTCTGAGGAGTGGCTAGTGAGTTTAAACAGCCGACCTTGCTGTTCAAACTGACCTTGTGGTCCAGTGCTTATCTTATATCATGAATTTTATTGAGAACAGTTTCTTTGGTGTTGATAATATAAAATAAAATGCATCTTACAATGAATGGAATCTTAGAGTTTTGAAGGGCAGCTACATTATAATAAAGAAATGAAATGTCTTTTTTTCTATCTTCTAACTTTTTTCTCTAAGAGGAAAAAAGTATATTTTAAATGCTATATTCCATAAAAAGACTAAATGCAGTAATTAAATATAATGTGTGTGTGCACACACATTTTGGGTGTTTTATGCAGGCATTAAGAGCTCTGGTAGCATAGTGGTTACGACTCGGGCTGCTAATCTTATCACGGTCAGCAGTTTGAAACTACCAGCAGTTCCACAGGAGAAAGGTGAGGCTTCAGCTCCTGTAAAGATTTACAGCCTCAGGAACCCTATACAGGGTTGCTATGGGTCGGAACTGATTCCACGGCACAGCACCACCACCAACCACCACCATGGAGGCATTAATGATTAAGTCTGTCAGCCAGATACCCAGTTTATAGAAATGGGGAAGAAAAGAAGTGGTTCAATTTAGCAAATCTTAAGTTTCTCTATAAAAATATTATTAAATTTTCTATGCAATTAAAAATCTACCCCCAAGACATTGGTTAGGCAAGAAGTGCCTGGCTTACAAGCTTTCAACAGGGAGCCTAACTCCAGAGGATACAGGGAAAGGTAGAATCTCCACTGAATTGTTTCCAACCTGTCTGGATGGGGTTGATAAAAGATGAGGGGGAAAGGACTCCTGTGGTTCAGTAGGGAATGGTTGCTATCAGGTTTGACTGGGAGTATTGGAAATGGTAACAAAAGGAGGGGAGCTGCTGATTTTGCAGTCCAGGTGTGGAGATTCCAGGTACCATCAAGGGAGAAAAGCAAAGTGCAAGACCCTGTCCAGAGAGGCGGTGACACTAGGGGTGGAGGCAGAGAAGATGAAGTGGACAGAGAAGCGGCTGGGGACTCTGGACTCAGGGAGGGAGAGAGGCTGTGTGCTGATGGCTGGGTGGGGTGGGGGGGGGGGGCGTGTAAGGTGTACCCTTTGATGATGCATGCAGGGGATTGTGATCATTGCAATTAAACAAAATACGATAGGATAAATTGTAAAGATAATGTTCACCCATGTAAACTAACACATAATTCATTAAAAAAATTAAAAAAATCTACCCCCAAATAAAAATTTTGTTTCTTCTTTTTTCATCTTTATTTCTCTTACTTTTTGTCTTGTGTATGGCCTACTATCTGAAGTAAACATTGAATGATTGGGGTATCTGTTTTAATAGGAATAATTTAAAAGTTTTTATCATAATGATTGATGCTCATTATCGGCTTTTTGGCATATATCCTCATTGGGTATATAGATTGGGATGTTTTTGGCTGCAAACAACAGGTGACACCAACTCAGATGTAAACTAATATAAACAATGAGATCATTTATTTTTCATATAATTGGAAGCCCAGAATTAGGACAGGTGTCAGGGCAGGTGTAAAGTAGGGAAGTGTGAAATTTAGGTCAATTAAAAAAACATCTACTACATCAAACTAAAAAATAAATTATCTTATTAACTTTACTATAATTTTTTTAAATGAAGGTTTAATTTTATTGAAGGATATTTTGTGCTTATATTCAGATAATCACTGTTCTACTTTCATCTATAAATGTGATAAATTAACAGTAAGATTTTCTAATGCTATCTTATCCATAATTCTTGGTATATACCCAACTTGGTAATACTGTGCTTTATTTTTAAAATGGGAGTGAACTTATTGAGCTTATATTTTATTGAGGATTTTTATATGCCTGTGAAACTTACATATACTTTCCTGATTTTATGCAAGCCTCATAGATTAAGTAGTTGTTTTTCATAATATGCATTGTTGTTGCTGTTAAGTGCTGTTGAGATTCTGACGCATAGAGACCCTGTATAGGGTTTCCAAGGAGCAGCTGGTGTACTTGAACCACCGACTTTGCAGTTCAAACAGCTTTGCAATCTGATGCATTAAGTCCACAGAGGCACACCAGGACTCCATAATATGTATTGTTGTTGTTGTTAAGTACCGTGGTGTCAGTTCCGACACATAGTGACCCTGTATAGGGTTTCTGAGACTGCCAATCTTTACGGGAGCAGAAAGCCTCATCTTTCTCCTGTGGAACAGCTGGTAGTTTCGAACTGCTGACCTTGATTCATAACCACTACACTAACAGATAATATGTATTAGATAGTGCTTATTTATTCCTTGAAGAGTTTCTAAAATAGACTGGTACTATGTGGCAAGTATGGGAGTTGTAGGAAAGATATTTTATTAATTTCTTTAATGTATATGATGAATTTGGGTTTTTCTTACTAAGTGAATTTTGTATATATATACTCGGTGTTATAGAAATGTTTGTATTTTGTTTAAGTTTTTAATTCTATTGGCATAAGGTTGTTCATCATGTCCTCATATAATTTAACTGTATGTTTAATTATGTCCCAATTCTTGTTCTTACTGTTGTTTATGTTTTATTTATTTTCCTGTTAATCTTAAGAAAGATTCGTCTATTTAATCTGAAAATATATAATTTAAGAATATAGTATAGTTACTGTATTCTAATTACACTTTTAAAAGATGCTTTAGTATCACTTACTGCTATCTCCTCTAAACACACTCCAAGTTTCCAAACTTTAATCTTTCTTTCTGTCTTTTTCTTAACAGTGGAAACATTAAAAGATGACGATAAGGTGGACATAGCCTCTAGCCTTGAAATAGATGAAGAACAACTAGGACCTCGATCTGATGATGATGATGATACGTAAGTAGGTCATATCCAGATGCCTAAATGAAGCATTGATAGAAGGTTAGAACACTGTTACAATAAAGAAGATCACCAACTGTGAAAAGTTAGTAGCATCAGAATCTCTCTCATTTCAAGAAGGATCATCCCAAAGCTGATTCCTATGAGGTGGAGGTCAGACATACCTCCATTCTCTAACCTTTTAACAAATTCTAACACCAGTAGTCCCTTCCCTGTTGTTAGTTATTATTGTTAGGTTGCCACTGAGTCAGTACCAACTCAGAATGGCCTTATGCACAACAGAATAAACCACTGCCTGGTCCTGCACCAACCTCACAATTGCTGCCATGAATGAGCCCATTGCTACTGCCACTGTGCCAATCCATCTAGTTGGAAGTCTTCCTCTTCTTTATTGATCCTCCACTTTACCAAGCATGATGTTCTTTTCCAGGGACTGGTCCCTCCTGATATGTCTGAAATATAAGAAATGAAGTCTGGCCATCTTGACTTCTAAGGAGCATTCTGGCAGTATGTCTTCCAACACAGTCCTGTTTATTCTTTTGACAGTCCATGATACTTTTAATATTCTCCTCCAATACAGTAATTCAAATGCATCAATTCTTTTTTTTTTATTTTTTTTTAAAGCTTTTATTGTGCATTGAGTGATAGTTTACATGGGAGAACATCAGTTTTGCACTCATTAAATGCATTTAGTGTATCATTAAATGCATCAATTCTTCTACAGTCTTCTTTATTCATTGTTCAAATTAAATTTCACATGCATATGAGGTTATTGAAAATACCATGGCTTGGATCAGGCATACCTTAGTCCTCAAACTGACATCTTTGCTTTTGAACATTTTAAAGAGGTCTGTGCAGCAGACTGCCAAATGCAATATATCATTTGATTTCTTGATGACTTTGAGTTGTGGTGTTGGAGGAGAATACTGAAAGTGCCATGGACTGCCAAAAGAACCAATAGATCTGTTTTGGAAGAAGTGCAAACAGAGTGCTCCTTGGAGGCCAAGATGGCTAGGCTTCGTCTCTCATACTTTGGACACATTGTCCAGAGAGAACAGTCGCTGGAGAAGGATGTCATGCTGGGTAAGGTGGAGGGTCAGAGAAAAAGAGGAAGACCCCCAACGAGATGGATCAGCCAGGTGACATCATTGATGGCGTCAAGTGTGGCGGCGGTAGTGAGGTTGGCCCAGGATCGGACCTTGTTTTGTTCTGCTGTGCATGGGGTCGCTATGACTCGGTTCCGACTCGATGGCACCTGACAAAAACAACAACAACTTCCATGAGTGTTGATGGTTGATTCAAGCAAAATGAACTCTTTGATTGATAACTTAAATCTTTTCTCCATTTAACTTGATGTTATTTATTGGTCCAGTGATGAGGATTTTTTTCTTGTTCTTCAAAGTCCCTCCCATGGCACTATTTCTCTTCTGTGCTTGATAATCCATTGTAATGGCTGCACAAAAGCCACAAACTAGTACTTAAAGTTAAGTGGTTTATAAACTTAATTGGTGATGGCTGTGAGCCATGGAGTCAGTTCCAACTCATAGCGACCCTGTACAGGGTTTCCGAGGCTATAAATCTTTATGGGAGCAGAACGCATCTTTCTCCCGCGGAACCACTGGTAGTTTTGAACTGCTGACCTTGCAGTTCGTAGCCCAATTGGTAACCACTACGCTACCAGAGCTCCTTATAAACTTAAGTAGCAAGGTATAAAGTATAGTGAATAGCGTTTTTGGAATTTTTATGGCAATTATAGCTTATTTGTTGATTAATTTATGGGAATTGACATATTTCTGACTGTGAATGTTAATATTTATGCATATAGTATAGCTCTCCATTTGTTTACATCTTCCTTTATAGTCTTCAGTATTTTTGTCAATTTCTTCATGGCATAGTTTTTGTTACGATTATAAATGGGATCATTCTCTTGTAGTGTTTTCCAATTGTCTATTGATAGTGTATTAATGGGAACTCTCTTATTTGTTCTAACAGTTGAAGTCCTTTGAATTAATTTTTGTTTTATTATACTCTACTTCTACTGTTACAGCAGTTATAGATTCATGGTCGAAGAAACTGAGGCCACTTGGAGAGGTGAAGCAGAATTTCAAATTTTATTAAGCCGGCTGACTCAGAGGACCTAATTTCTCCAGATTCTGAGCCCCAAATGGAGGGCAATACGGGCCTTTATGGGGTCAGAGTCTGGGGAGGGGCCAGGCTGCATACCTGTTTGAGGGCAGGGGGAAAAACAGGGGGATTGGTCCCATTTGGTGACCTGATTAGTATTTTAGCTTGCCTCCTGGGAAGGAGAGGGCAGTGAATGATTTTTACCTTTTTCTGTTCACTACAACAACAACTTCTTTGTTGTTAAGTGCTGTCAAGTTGGTTCCGACTCATAGCAACCCTGAATTGGGTTTCCGAGGAGCAGCTGGTGCATTTGAACTTTAATAGGTAATATATTCACATAGTTCCAAATTCAAAATGTGAGAAACTTTGTCCATACTGACAAATGCTCAAGTAACCCAATCTGTACTCATTTTAGCAAGAGTGAAGTTTTCTTTATTTGATTTTGCAAATTCGGGCACCCAACCCAGTAGACACACACTAGATGTGCCACATGGCTGGCCCACAAACATTTTATTCCCCTGTCTTGGAAAAAGCCCCTCCTCCAGTTCCCCTTTTACTGGGTATTATGGAGTTCACAATCTCCTCCCAACTAGTCCTTACTGGGAGCATTCTCATTAAAGTTAGTTTCCACCTTTCCCCAAAAACTTCCCCCATTTCCTTGATGGGTGTATTCTTATTTTAAAGTTGTAGTCCTAGAACATATTTCTTTCCTCTCTTCCCCCAATTCATCCTGCTTACATACCCATGGGTATGAATTAACAACCTATGTCTGATCTAGCAATCTCATGAGCCCTTTATTCCTGAAGCTGGACCATCTTGAGAATTTCTCACAGAAAGACATACTCTTACAAAAGGCTTACTATTATCGCACCAGTCAAGCAATCTAATCTGCTTCCTGTATATACTTCTCTATAGGCATTCTTTGAATATAAGCAAATATCCTGTATATACTTCTCTATAGGCATTCTTCAAATATAAGCAAATATGTGTATTTGTGTGTGTATGTATTGATTTTGTTTCATATAAATGCTTTCATACTGTACACATTTTTCCACAACTTAGTTTTTTCTCTTAACAGTATATCTTAAATGCATGTCTTCATATGCAAAGACTAGTATCTTTATGATTTAAGTCAAAGAATGTATATTTATAATTTGGCTGTTGTAAAATTTTCTCTGCTAAAGGTTATACCAACTTAAGTTCCTACCATCAGGGTATGAAAGGAGCTCTGGTAGCATATAATCAGGCTGCAAACTGCAAGGTCAGCAGTTCGAACCTATCAGCTGTTCCGCAGGAGAAAGATGAGGCTTTCTGCTCCTGTACAGATTTACAGCCTCGGAAACCCTGTACAGGTCGCTATGAGTTGGAACTGACTCCACGGCACACCATCACCATCAGGGTATGAAAGTGGCTGTTTCCCTAACATTGTCTTGCTCATATGTTACCAAACTTTGGGATCACTGCACAATATATAGGCAAAAAGAAAAAAAATTACATTTTATTTTTAAAAAAACATTTATCTTATAAGTGAGGTTGTCTTTTCATATGCTTAACAGTCATATTTATCTTCTTCTTTTAAAATAATTTATAGACTCATTATGTGGTGTTAAGTCACTTTCAACTCATAGCCACCCTGTGTACAATAGGGTACACTATGACTGCCCTGCCATGCACCAGCCTCACAAGCACTGCTACATTTGAGCCCATTGTTGCAGCCACTGTTAATCCACTTTGTTGAGAATTTCACTATTTTCACTGACTCTTTCCTTTACCAAGCATATGTCCTTCTCTAGGGATTGGTCCCTCTTGATCATATGTCTAAAGTAGGTGAGACAAAGTCTCTCTGGTCTTGATTCTTAGGGGTATTCTCTTTGTACTTCTGACTATACTGTTAGTTCTTTTGGCAGTCTATGATATATTCAGTATTCTTTGCCAACACCTTAATTAAAATGAATCAGTTCTTCTTTGGTCTTTTCAAATTATTGCTCAATTTCCACATTCATAAGAGGCAATTGAAAATACCATGGCTTGGTTAGGCCTACTTTAGTCCTCAAAGTGCCATTTTTGCTCTTTAACACATTAAAGAGGTCATTTGCAGCAGCTATTCCCACTGCAAAACATCATTTGATTTCTTAACTGCTGCTTCCATGAGAGTTGATTGTGGATCCAAGGAAAATTAAATCCTTGGTAATTTCAATCTTTTCTCCATTTATCATGATGTTGTGTATTGGACTAGTTATAAGGACTTTTGTTTTCTTTACACTGAGTTGTAATTCATAAGGAAGGCTGTATTCTTTGATATTCATCAGGAAGTACTTCAAGTTCTCTTCACTTTGAGCAATTAAGCAGTGTCGTCTGCATATCACAGGTTATTAAAGGGTCTTCCGCCAGTGCCAGTCCTGATGCCACATTCTTCTTCATATAGGCCACAGTTTCTCAGTTTATTTGCTCAGCATATAGATCGAATAAGTATTTGCTCAATATATAGACTGACTAAGTACCTATGCTTCATAGATATTCTCAACAGAAGAGTAAAAGTTTTAGGAAACGCTTAGGTGTTTTGTCCCTTAGCATCCTCCTAAAAGACCAAGACAGAGAAGTTGTTGTTAGCTGAAGTCCAGTTGGCGCAGACTCATGGTGATCCATGTACAACAGAAGAAAAGGTTGCCTGGTCCTGCACCGTCTTCATGATGTTGGCATGTTAGAGTCCATTGCTGTTGCTGTGTCAATTCATCTCATTTGTTAAGTTGACAACTTTTATACGTACTCTATTCTTTGCACTGCTTTTATAGTTAGCTACCTAATAAATTGATATAACAAATTAAAAAGTTGGTCAGTATTCATTTCTTACTTTCAAATTTAAGTACCCACTG